TGTGTGAATATTATATAAGATCTTGCAGAATAGAAGCTTCATGGCTGAGAATCCACAGTTCAAGGCCTCGGGCATCACCTGTCATTTATCCCGGATGTTTCTTGTAAAAATCTCGTCACCTTGCCTTATATGACACCTGATTAAGTTGTCCGTTGACTTGTAATAGAATAATTTTGCGTCACTCACTAATGGGTTGGTACGTGTGGTCGGTATATAGTCACTGTGATTTGCATTAATAAAATCTTTGTTGTTTGTCGCCAAGGTCTTGAAGCCTTGACCGCAGCGACCACTACTTGTGGTGCTAAGTGCCCCGCTCGACTCGACGGCTATAAAACTCTGTAAGAAAATACTTTCTGCTGATTCTACCTTGTTTACAAAAGCTTGTTATTCACGCCCTTAAAGAAGAGATTAAAAAGAATTCTGTCCGAGAAAGACACTTCATTTTCATCCTACCTTCCTTTCTGGCCAAGTAACCAGAAGGTTTCGCATAAGCGCAAATCGTCGTCTCTTGCTACCTTAAAAAATTCCTTGCTTAACAGACCGCACAGCTGGAATTTCAACCGGGGAATACGCTTACGTTGACGGGGTTGTCTTAGCTGAAGAGCTTGTCATGTTCTTACTAGGGGCTGTTGCTGAACGTCAGAAGATGGACTCCCATCAGGAAATTTGTCCTCTGCTAAAAATAACTTCTTTTGACGAATGTTTGGCAGTTGAACAAAGAATGATTGTGATCCCTTTGGCTAATGGTCTCTGTACTTCGGGGTTGGGGGGGGGACAATTTTGGCTGAAGGCTTCCATCACGCGGGTCATACGTGTTTGTACTCGCCTGCGTGAGTTGAGATATGTGGTAATACTGTAATGCGATTAACACGCAAAGGAATCCACGTGCATGGAACTGGAAACTATGTTTCTACATCCAAAATTTGAAATTCTCTCAAATTGTAAGTGAGACAAAGAGTCTGACGGAACGTTCGTGGTGCTACTGTTACAACACACGAAACCAAGCCGAACGGTTTCTGCAATTAAAGTTCCTTCTTCAGGAACACTACCGTATTTAACCTTCAAGATGGATGTCTTCTGGGTTGTTGAGCCGTGTAGTCTGGTAGTTTACGAACGCTGCGAGGTCAGAGGCAGCAAGGACCTCTGAAACGTCGGTGACTTCCATCAGACTAAACGGCGATACAACCCAGAAGACAGCCATCTTCGGACTCACCGCCGCCAAAAACTTCAAGTCCCACTACGTATTATTTACAAAATGTTTGTATTTGCGTACAGGTCTGCACGGGGTCAGAACAGAGAACATCGTTATTTTCAAAATCTTGGATAAAGTTATTTTTAGGTAGTTTCAGGTGATGTGACCTGTTATGTTCTGACGTGCTGTTAGTGTTTAGGAACAGTGAAAGGTAGAACTGTAACCTGTAAATTTTTCGCGTTGAAGTGACTGCACGTTGATGAAGAAGTTCAAGCCCGCGACAGGATAAATTTTGAAAAATAAACGTAGTACAGAGTCTACCACATTAAAATAAAAACTTTCCTTGCTGCACATTCAGTTATCACGCGAATAAATAAAATGTAATCAACATGAGATTTAAAAGTCTGTGGGGAGAGACGTGACTTATGACCAGAATAAGATGGACGGAATGATTAAATGAAATATATGACAATTTAAGTATAGTAACTGCATAAAATGTGCACAGGGAAGACTCAAGATTCTCGTCATATTAAATAATGTACCAATGTAATGGCCTTGTAATCCTGGGGTCTCGGGTTCGATTCCCGGCGGTGCCCGAATTTATAACTTGTGTTGGGCAAGGCCGTGGTCTAGGCAACACGGAGTTTTCCTCCGTGGCATCCCAACAATTACTCCATTCACACACAGAAGAAGGCAACGGCAAACCACTTCTGGATCATCTGCCAAAA